CTTTGGCCACAATTATATTTACAGCTGCTCTCTGCAAAAGTGCAAAGCACTCCTGAGACAAAAGGTTTACACAGAAGGAAACCTCGAGTCAGAGCTCTCTGGGATGCAAGAGTTGCACCCAAATACCTGAGCAAATTCTTTGGCACCTCATGTTTTAAGCCATGACATGGCCTCCAGAAGGATTTCAATGAAACTTTTGCAATCATGACTTCCCCTCAACTCCTAGAGGACAATCACAGATGTCTGACAAAGCCAGAGGTCCTTTCAGCATTGCATAGGCAACCCTGTCTGTGTCTGCTCATGTAGTATAAGAAGCGATGTAGTGAGAACCAGGACTATGCTACCCTTTTTGAACACTCATTTGAAGAGAGTGCTTAGTTTGAGGTTTAAAGTCATTTTTTTGACCCACAGTGGGCCACTCTGCCCATTCCATCACCAAAATTTAGAATCTTAGATCATAGAAAAGCCTAAGGTAAAGCCATTTCTTATTCCATTTATTATGTCCCAGTAGCATATGATTTTCATTTTTATAAGAAGTTCCTGCTGTGAAAGGCCACGTTGCTAGTGGTCAGCAAGTGAAATCTTTCAAGACTAGTTGCTTTAAAACCTACTCAAAGTTTGAGAAGTTCCAGAGTGTTCCTGTCCTCCAGATTTCTCCCCATTACACACATTGCGATCATCTGTCCCTTAAAGATCCAAATGTCTTTGGCTTTCCCACTTGCCCTGAAGGGACACTGCACATTTTTTGAAATTAAGCTGTACATTTCTGCTTGTATAGTTGCCAGAAGGTTGCTTTCTGACTACAGTCGGTCATTTTTGTTTTGGCATTTTTAACAGTCCAAATAATTAATTAATTAGATGCATTATCTTCAAGATGAAATATCTCACCTTGAAAAACTAAATTGTACAGTTACAGCCTGGAGATTAGAGTCCTCTGCAATGATATAATTCACTTTGGCTTTGCAGTGCAGCTTGATTATGCTTTATCTCAATTGAGAGCTTAGGACTTTCACTGAGTTCAGGATCTGTGTATGTATTTGTACGTCCAGCGAGTCAAAGGCTGGTTCATATCCAGATTTGGTTGTGCTAGTTCTACTCACATTTCCTACACTAAATTTCAACTGCAGCAATATTTGGTCTGGTATTCCTATCACCCAAGGAGGAGATGGCAGTACCACGGATGCCTCCACCCAGAGAAGGAGATGGGCAGACACAGCAAATGTTGCCAACCAACAAGTGTGGTGTTTGTGCTGGACTTCTTTTCCCTTCCTTGGTTCATTTTTAACAAATCACTTCTGAAATGTTTCTTTCCTCAAAACTTACACAGTCTAAAACTTATACCGACTGCAGTATTTGTCTCTGCTTGGATGTCTACCGTCAATCCTCTCTTCCTTTGAAAGTCTGGCTTCTACTTTCAAATGAAGTCCTTTCTTCTTTGCATTGGCCCTGGAGAATCCCGCGTGCTCACAAAGTATTTAAAGGTTGACATCTGCAATGTTTTAGATTTTGAAGGGTCAACTTCATTTGAACTAGCTTCACCTCATGGGTCTGTGAAGCTGGGTTAGAAATTCTGCCTAAACAAGTACTCCATCCACCTCGCCTTAGCCTTGGCTGAAAGCCAGGAACCAGGAAGAAAGCAGATGAGGAGAAATAAGAAACAGTTAATTAAAAGCCAGGTTCTGAGAATCTTGGTTGTCCTTAGGCTCCTCACAGCCCCATGAGCTTTTCCTTCACTTGGATATGGGTTAAAGAGCAGGCTGCTACTTGCATAAGGAGAAAGACTGCAGAAACATAAGGATGTCAGACTGCTTGGAGGAACTGTAATTGGCTCAACTCTCCAATAGTCCTCACTTTTTTCGCAAAGCCTCCAGCATCCTAGCTACTTCTAATACAGGCTAGGGCTCCTCAGCTTGAAAACTCTCAGGAAGAAACACTTGTATATACTGAACAAAGCAGTAGTATCTCAGTGGGACACAATAAACAGCACCTGGGATGAAACATAGGAAACTCAAAAGTTAAAGACTTGTGGTGAAGACCCATGTGTCCCAGTGTATGGAAAGAGATACCAAACCCAAGCCTAGTGGTACTGAAAGAACCAGCATCCACAGAGACAAGTGTGGCCAATCTCAGCCTTCAGTCAAGTACTATAAAGCAGAAGTATTCACTGCAGCAGACCAGGATTCTTTTGCTTAACATGGATAAGCTGCTGCAGGGCATGGGGAATGCCCATGGGAGCTGCAGTGCAGGTACAGTGAAAGCAAGAACAGGGTTTGGAAGGGACATCAGAGATGTCAGTGGCTTGTATGAAGCAGTTAGAAACATAGGAAAAGGAAGCCCCTGATTGAGGTTGAGAGAAGACAAAAACAGTTTGTGTTTTCTTTCCTGGGACCTGCAGTCTGGGTGGCAGAGTCATTATCTGAATTCACCAGTCTGTAATTCAGTTATCCATGCTGGGAAATATATGGACCAAATGATCTAATTTAATTTCCCATACTCATATTGCTACATGAGTGATATGTCTCCTCAGAGCGCAACGAAACCCAACTCATACATTTCACACAAGTAAGCTGATGTTTCTGCCACTTCTCATTTATTTAGACTGACTGCTGAGTTACATCCGATTCTGTTTATTTTCTGTGGAAGGAATTAGCTTACTATACATCAGAATAAACACAGAATTTATCAGCAACTATACATGAATTCTGGAATTCATATTTAACAAATTTTGTATAAATATATCTGGAGGAGGCAGAGTTGATAACTTGTCACTGGATGGACCAGTCAATATTGAAATGTCTAAAAAGATATACTAAATGCAATGTAATTGTTCCCAAAAGTCCTGATTTTTTCTCAAGCGCAGCAAAATCCTTTGAGGGATGGATTCAGCTGCTCACATACAGTGTTGTCCTGTACATCTCAGTAGTGTTTGCTGAAGTGGGATTGATGGAGAATACAGAAAGAGTGCTCTGTGCTTTTCAGCACAACAGGTGGAGACCAGCCAGAACAAGCAGAGATGGCTGTCAATGTGTGTAGTAAGGGGACGGGCGAGAGATACATACTTACTGGCTTTCACCATTAGACTCACACCACGACATGTAGAGATGATATAAACCTCCAACAACTTTCAGTGAAATTGAAAAAAATAGCAGCTAAGGGCTGTGCCTAGGATACTGCAGCCTTTTGTGGCTGACAAAGCTCTAAGGGCAATGGCAGCATCTTCTCAAACTACCTCAGGGTGCAGACATTGTACTTTTACAAAGTAACAGACTTGTGGCTCCTGGGCCACTGCTTCATCTTTCTGAGGCCTTTTCAATACCTGAATTACTGAAAGAATGCAGAGTGCAAACCTAGCATCAAGTACTTAATGGTTTGTCTTGTCCCTTTACTGCTTTATCTGAATGCTGCTTAAAAGTGGTGTCCATAACATCAATATTTAACCACAAGGCTCACTCATCCTCACAAGAATGGGATTTGCTGTACACATGAGCTAAATCACAGCGCCTAGACAGCCGATAACAATTAAAGCCTCTTTCAAGATGAGGCACTTGATTGCTATTCTGAAGCTCACTGGTGAAAGGAATGCATTATCTTTTTTTTTTTTATTGCATTTGAAATGAAAGAGCTTGTTTAAATATTAGTCATCTGGATTTATATAGCTCATTTTTAGAGCTGGGCTAGCACCTGGCAATCCAGCCTGAGTAAGCATGAGGCTATCCCAGTCGCAGGCCTGTTTGATTTCTGTTTCCTCTTTTTACAGCATGTGACAGACTGATTTTTTTTCTGGGATGATTTCCTTCCCACTCACAGCAGATAGTTCCTATACATGCAAAGCAGCTACCTCCCAGGCAGAGCAGAGCAGAGACCTCCTCCCACTGAGCACTGTGCCCAGGACCAATGCTGACACTGATCTGCATATGGGTAAGAGTGGTGTCCTCGGGGCAATGAGTAGCCCAGGTGCAAGAAAACAGTGATAAAACACATTATTTTCTGACTATAAGACAAAGATAAAGGCAATTTTCACTATTACTGTCCACAACATTTTTTTCTGTAAACTGAAGGAGATTTCTCCTGCTATTAAAAACATTCATCTCTGCTTTTCAAGCTGTCTTTGTTTTTCCTTTCCCAAATGTTTCAAATTACTGCTTTTTTTCTGCCTTCGCCTTACATTTCTGCAGCCTGGCACAGATACGAAGCTTGCTGCTGGCAGAAAACTGCAAAATTCTGCCTGTTCTCTGCCAGGCTGAAAACTATGTGCGAGCCTTCCTCATGTCTTGCACACATCTGAGGATGGAGATGATAGAGACAGTCAAATGATGCTGCTAATGATTTCTTTTCCCTCAGGGGAAGTGCTGAGAAGGATAATAGATATACTTTGCAACACTGTTCCCAAGGGACTTTATCTAAGTGGGGAGAAGAATTAATAGACAGCCTTTCAGGGAGAGACAAATATGCAAAAATATCACAGTGCTAAGGAGTTCTGCTGACATAGCAAGCACCTAAAGGTGTCTGCGCAGGGCTCAGACCATGCCCTGGCACTGAGTCAACACAGGCAGTGCCAGAGGGTCAGCTCACTGCTTGGGAACTTGTGCATGCCACCCTTTCCACCCAAATTGGTGGACAGTATGTTGGAATTTTTGCCTGTTTGTAAATTAATGGGTCTCGGACCTCCAGGCTGCATATGTGATGAAACATGAGGTGATGTAAATCCAGGAGAAGTACAGTGCTTAGTCTGCGTAGGAAAGAATTTGTCAGGGCTAGGACATTAGTGAACCATTTAAAGCCAGGGAATCACATATAATACAATAAAAGGAGGGAATTTCTCTGGCTTTCCTCCAAAAGCCAAGTATCATTCATTGATCAGCAACCAGATCTCCATCTCCACTGAGAACATTTTTTCATGCATTAGCTAAGTGGAAAATGACGGATGGGCTCGCTGTGCCCTCTTCCACATTCTTCCCTCTCCCATCTGCCCAGGCATCCCTGTCCCTCTGCCCACTTACCTGGCACCACCAGCAGCCTGGGGGGCGGCGGGGGTGGAGGAGGTGGTGGTGGCGGTGGTGGAGGCCTGCATTGGCAGACCTGCTGGCAGCTCTCCGGGATTTCATCTGCTACAGGCTTGGAGCATGACTTCTGGGGTTCACCCTGAGTGATCTGTGGAGAAACAAGTCATGGCACGAGCAGTAGAAAAAGGGAAAACTGATTTTCCATGAGCATGCTGCTTGAACTTGAGTTCCCAATGGGCACCTCAGCCCCTGGAGAGAACTGAGTTCCTGCTACTGCTGTTCGTCACTGAGGACACAAGGTCGCTTTCTTATGATGTCTCAGCTTTATGTTCTACTTAACATAGTATCTTCAAGATACTTCTGACTGTGGCTGGCTGGTTTCTGCATTATTATGGGGTAGAGTGCAGGCGGGTAGTGGCAGACAGTGGTTGCGTAAGCCTTCTTTCCTTAGGAAAGCCGTCTAATAGCATGCATTATTCACAGGGTTGTTGCTGCAAGCCAAAGAGAGCTAATAAAGATTGCAAGACATTTAGGATAAGGATTATTCTCGTTTTCCTCATGGCAGAACCAAGAGCCAGAGATCTCTCCTGTTTTGCCAGCTTCCCTTTCATGTTTGGAGACATGTTTCACTTCCCACCATGGCGAGGTGCAGCCCCACCTACTCATCTGCAGACTGCATAGAAGACCTGGTCAAAATGGAAATGCCCCAGCCTCTGCCTTGCAGCTTCCTGCTGGTGATCAATGAAGCTGAAGAGGAGATGCTGCAGAACCCAAGTGTAACCACTGCTGAAGGCATGTAGGCATGGCTTGGCACTGGCCAATGATTTAGCCAGAATGCATACATTCAGCACTGTAATCTAGTCATGACAAAGAACATGTTAATACATATTTTTCTTACCAGAAATAATATTTATATGTCTAGGAACATGTAAATAAAGATATTCAGTAACTGTAAAATTCCTAATGTAGTGTTAATGAAAAGGAGTATGTTCATAATGAAAAGGGAATCTGTGCAATACTGGAGGAGCCTAAGACTCAGGGGGAAAGCCCTCAGCGGTCTCTAAGTTAACCTTTTTTTGAAAGGCTTCGATCTGAAATGGAAAATCATAGAATCATAGAATGGACTGAGTTAAAAAGGACCACAATGATCATCAAGTTTCAACCCCCCCCTGCTACGTGCAAGGTCACCAACCAGAAGACCAGGCTGTCCAGAGCTACATCCAGCCTGGTCTTGAATGCCTCTAGGGATGAGGAATCCACAATCTCCTTGGGCAACCTGAAATATGGGATACTCACTGAAGCTAAAGAAAATCACAGGAACATTCAGCTGTTGCCTTGTAAACTTGGTCTTGGGAGGGTTATAATCCTAATAGTTCTTCCCTAATATCATCCTCCTTACTCAGCTCTCTTCCATGGCATGATGGTCATCGTGCAGGGAATGTCTCACTCCAGCCTCTCTGGCCTGTTTCAGATAGCCCCTTCTGCCCTGTTGCCTGTCTCCACGGTCACTTGGGGCTCACAGAACCACATAACAATTTGGGTTGGAAGGGACCTTTAGCAATTATCTCCTTCCAACCCCCCTTCCCTCCCCAGCTTGCCTTCTACTCCCTCCCACCCAGGCTTCGCCTCCCTTTCTCAGACAGCTTTGGGACAGAGCCCATCTACTCTCCACTGCAGGAAGCACACAGGCCCTGCATGTATTTCTGGAAAAAAAAAAAAAAAAAAGAGAGATGGGCAATTAAAACAACATCACTGCACCAAGGACATGTTCACATGTGTAGGAGGTTTCTAAATGCAGAAAGATGCATTGCTCTGGCCTCAGGGAAATAGAGGTAGGTCTTTGTTGATTAAATGTTACAGAGAGGGAAGAAAAGAATAGAAAGAGCTATGCGTAGCTGAGGCACAAGTCAGGAGGATCAGTTGTTTAAACAGCACGTCAACATCTATTACCAAACATAGGGAGAGACAAATTGAGCACGAGTGCTTTCCAACTTTCCCTTCACAGCCAGGTAACAGTACGAGGCTGGTTAGAGACCATCCCAGACAGCTTCCAGGAACTTACACAAACTCTCTGAACACTCTAATGAATCAAAGTGACTTGGCTTCATAATCCCTCAGAGCTGGTAATAAATCTGTCTGCTAAGTAGGTGCATTTATTTTTAACATCATAAGTGATCTCAGGCAGCAGAATATTCCCTCTGTACCACTTTGGCTCCCATGGGGCTGTCTGTGCACTGGGCCAGGGTGCCAGCAGCTTACCCAGAGGAAAGGCAGACGGGGCACTCTGAGGTGGGACCCATGGGGCAGCACCTGCACCACTCACACAGCAGGTGGGGCAGCATTACTCTGCCAGCATCAACTGCTGATCAGGCAGCAATATCAACCCCCAGCTTTAATGATCACTCCCTTCTTGATTCTCTGATTGATAAACCCTATGGCTCCCTACAGTCTTGCGGGAGCCAGTAAAGTGGGAGAAAACAGAGCCAGGGTAGAATACCATTCAGCAGTCTTGGAGCCAGCCTCATATGCAGACCAGAAGTAGCTTTGTGTATATGAGTCTGAACATAGTGCTGGTGTGGTATGATACACTGAATTATTGCTCTAACTTAATATCAACCAGAACCAAAAGACTTGCTCGATCTTTTTTTAGACTATTGATTGCTTTTAAATCCCTGGAGGCTTTTCTACCTTAGACTGATAATAGAGTGTCCTCAGAAACTAGTGTGTATTTTTCTCAATTACTTTGCAGACAAGATTAACCCTATGAATGTCCAACTGCTCTCTGTATACTTTTCTGATATCATTTCTGAAAAAAAGAAATATCCACATATCTCCACATATCTCACTCTGAATCATATACTGAGATTCCTCACAGTGATTCTGAATGCTTGGGAAAGAACTGAATTTTGAGAGCATTGGCTTTGACACTTATTTGGTTCTCTTCTCTTTTCACTTGATCCAATGTCCAGTTGACGGAAGATATCTACAGGAACATAGATTTTGCCTTCAAGGGTTGGTAAAGAACAAGGATATTGTAAGTTAGCTGAAATCCATCAGGAAAAGGAAAGACATAAATTGAGGCTGTAGCCTTGAGGAGCAGAGAAATGGTCAAGGATTGCTGCAAGAAGATTAACTAATGGCAGCAAGACATTTGGCTTGTTTTCAAGAAAAAAAACAACCCATGGTATTGATGTCTATTAGCCTTCTTATGAAAGGAATGAAGAATATTACTTATATCTTGTAAACATAAGCACAACAAATCACTGGGAAATATGCTTTGGGGAAAAATTTCATCCTCCTGGAGGACGATGAAATAAATTACTCCATTTCTTTTTGTCTGTAATTCAAGGTAAGCTGCTTTTACAGGAGCTGGCAGGAGAAAAACAGATCTGCTGAGAGAACCCCATCCCACTCTGGCCTGCCCTGCTAGTAAGTGCCCACTGAGAGCCCTGAAGAGGGGTTGGTTCTGGACCCTGGGCACACTCCCTGCTCTCTTGCCACGCTCTCCAGCCCTGGTGCTATAAGCACTATGGACATGTCTCCTTGGCACCTGGCTGCTTGTCTGGCCATTTGTCAGCTTGGGTGCATGTGCTGCCTGGCCTTCAAGGGGGTACAATTTTTTTTCCTGCTCTGAAAATAAGGAGAGAGCTTGTGTACCTTTGATATGAATATGCTTTGCAAAAAGGCAAATGTTTTTAAATATTCATGGCAATGAAAATCTGATCCACAAATGCCCAGGGAAAAGCAAGCAAAAAGCGGAAAACATTGGTTTCTTTTTGAAGTTTCTCAGTAAAGGTCCATATCTGTCACATTTCTGCTTAATCCAAGACTTTATGCAGAAGCAGTAGGCACGGTTCTGCTTTGTGCAGGATGAGAAAACCAATCTGTGTGGCCAGAGGAGCTCAGTACTCCAGTAGAGTCCTGCAGGGCTGCAGCAGTCCATGGACATGCTCTAGAGTGGGATGGAAAGAGTGGATCGGTACAGTCTCCTGACCATGGCCCTCTGGTGACTGCAAACCAGGCAAAGGGAGGAAAGCTTGATAAGAGAAGTGCCACTGAGACCTCTAAGATCCTGCTGAGTTGGTGAGAGCTTTGCCTCTTGGAACCAGTCTACAGAGATGAGATCTCAACAACGCCATGTAAATCCCAGAGCGGCTCTGCATAATTCACATCACAGTTAATCCAAATCTATGTTTATAAAACCAGAAAAGACGTGACACTACCATTTATCACTGCATGTACTGATACACTTTTTAAATTATGTCAAAAACTTCAGACATAATCATGCCTTCCTTCCTGTTGTGTTGGCTATTAGGCTAAGAAAAACATATATATGCATACATAAGTATTTGAATAATGCTGCTACTCTGATTTGTATCTGACTGATTTCATTAAGTGCCTCAAGGCAAGGCTCAAGGAAGCAGCACCAAGATGTGGTGAAGGAGGCCATGCCACACACAGGTCAGAGCATTGCTAATAGGTAGAGAAGGGCTGGGAGAAGTGAGAAACTGCAATGGCTGCTGTAGATAGAGTAGGGATACAATGGGACCCCTGGATCAGTCATCCTCAGAGGAAGACTTTGATGATATGAGCAATGGTTACAACTCGACATGGAGAAGGGAGCCATGGGAGAGATTCAAAGAGGAGTGAGCTCCAATCCCAGCATGTTGGCGCATTGGTGAGCATTCTGCACCATCCTTCCCTCTGGTACCTGCCAGGGTGTCCTGGGTTGCATGGGCAAAAAGCAAAAGTCTTATTGACTGCCCTTACACAGAGCAGCAGGCAATAGCACAAACACAGATGAAGAATGTGACAACAAAGCTTTGCAAGGGAAGTCTGGAGCCCTTGGTTTTTGCAGTTCTCAGAGACTGTTTCAATTGTTATAAATGTAACTACTATTGAAAGATTGCCCTAGGTCACTTAAGCAGTTTACCATTAAGATGTTTATGCAAGATATTTTATTTATTTATTTTTTGTCTGCTTGACTGATAGACTGATTACAGGAGAGGGATTTTGGGAGGCATCTCTTCTCGCACAATTGCATTTCCCTACAGCTTTGCCTTACAGCCAGCATCTGCACACCTGAGCAGGACAGCAGCAGGGTAGTGCTGGCTGAGATTTTTATGATGAAGGAATTAGTTTGAAAGATGTTGGTTTTGCCGTTTCTGCTCATTTTAATCTGTAAGATGCACTGATCTTCTTTGTCACTCACAGGCAGACACGAGATGCTGAAACATCTCTGTTTAATCTCTTGGGAGTCACTAAGTTTAGAACAAGGAGTGAAAGATGCGGAGTCTCCACCGTGTTTTCTCCAAGAAACTGCAATTGTGCTGTTCTTGAACAGCACTCAGCTGCCTCATCAGTCACTCGGCTGAAGACATATATTATAAATAAACTTTAAAATACCCAAGTGACGCATTTGAGTCAAGCTGTGCCGCTGCTCCCCTCCCCAAGCTGGACGGGCACTCTCCCTCCCAACACACTCCTGTTCATTGGGCACCTTCCAGCTCACCCCACACCACCACCAAGGTCACCCACCGACACCCGGCGAGGAGTTGGAAAACCCCGTTTTGAGGTTTAAGCAAACAGCCTTCAGATCGCAACCAACACCAAAATGTCACGGCGGAACACTCCCAAAAATAAGCCCGCCGGAGCACCGCATCTTCCGTGCATGTCGCCACCGAAACGCTCTCGCTCAAGAAACTCCTCTCCGCCTCGCTCCGGCCGCAGCAAGTTGGGCGCTCCCGGGGCTCGAGGCGGGCCCAGCAGCTCCCTCACCCGCTCGGTCCCGCAGCCCGAGCCGTGCCGTGCCCAGCAGAACCGCGGATTCCCCAGCCCGGGGACCGTCGCCCGCAGCCTCCGCGGCGCCGCCCGGAACTCTGCCCATCGCACCCGGCCCCCTGAGCGAGGCCCTACCTGGACGGAGCCCCAGAGCGGGTGGAGGGCACAGTGCAGCAGCAGGGAGGGCCAGCAGCAGCGGAGCAGTCCCAGCAGCTCCCGGAGCAGCATCCCTCCTGGGCGGGCGGAGGCGCGGGCTCCGGGCGTTCTGGGGACGGAGCAGAGCGAGCCGGCGGCACAGGCGTTGGCTCGCACCCATCCCCGGAGCGCGACTGTCCCAACTTTAATTCTGGAGGAGAGGGAGGGAAAGAGGGAGGGAGGAAAGGAGGGAGGGAGGCAGGAGGTGGGCGGGTGGGGAGAGGAAGGGGTGGTCGGGAAAGCCCGGCGCCCTGCCCGACGCGGCTCCCCCCGGCCTCCGCCCGCCCCGCCCGCCGTTCCGTGCCCGCCCCTCCGCTCCCCCCACCGGGGCGCTCCGTGGCCGCCGCTTGGGAGGAAAAAGTTTGCATGGCGGAGGGGCCGGAGACGGCGGAGAGAGGCGGGGGAGCGGCGCGGCGCGGGGATGGCACCGACCCCCTGCCCGTCGGCGCTGCTGCTGCAGCGATTTTTCAATCCCACGGAACGGTCCCTGTGCGCCTGGCGCCTGCCGCGCCGTTCCGCGCCAGCGCTCCTCCCGTCGGCGGCCGGGCTCCGCTTCGCGCGGCTCCGCGGGTCTGCGAGCGGATGCACGCGGGCTGCCACGGACGCAGCTGCACCCGTGTGTGGTGGGGTTTTTTAATCTATTTATTTTCCTCTCTCTTTCTTTTAATAAAAAAAAAATTAAATAATTATCATATGTTTTTTTTTTCTTTTCTTTTTTTCTTTATTTCTCATTTTATTTCTTTATTGTCCTAGAGCGATGCTAGGGATTGTCCTGTTGTCAGCTTGGTGTCCCCAGCTTGGTGTCCGTGGGATGTCACAAGGAGGACGCTTTCCAGTGCTGGTGTTTCTATCCGATAATGCAGCGCGCGGAAATAACAGCGCTTGTGAGGATGTGGGTAAGGAGCCCCCCGATATCATGGCTCTGCAGGGAGGAAGCAGGCCACATAATCAAAGATGAAGAAGGTTTTGCTTGCACTGAAGCAATTAAAACCTCAATGATTGATGGCTGTGGCAGCTGGTTGGGCTTGGCGTGCACCAAGATGTTCATAAATGTCTGCTGTTGGGTTGGTGGCACAGTCCTGTTTTCGGTGCGATGAGCTAAAACAAGTGGGCTCAAATAAAGTGTTGAGCTCAAGGTTTATGTTTCATACTTGGAGATGAATGGGCTTTAGGATTTGGACTTTATTTTTTCCCCTCTATTTCTTGCACCCACTGGTCAGAGTTTCATAAACTATTTCATTAAAATCTGCTCAGTAAAGCAAGAATGAAAATATGCTAATATATGGGTAAAAGTCTCTCCATGCCAGCAAATCCCCATTCATTTCAATCCCAAAAGACACCGGTTTCAATGCCAGGGCTCAGCAACATCCTACAAATGACAGAAACACAATGAAATTCAACAGAGTGATACCTGACTTGAACTCAGTCCATCGTGGCTGGCCAGTTATTTGAAAATCCCCTTCTCATATGTTTGTAAGGGCCAAGTATGGCCAGACTGACATCATGATATTGGGTGCATGCAGTAACTGTGCGGCAAATATGTTTTCTGTAATGATTCTGAAAAAAGATGGCATCCTTTTTCTGTAAGTCTACTGTGTAACATGGAGTGCTTAATATACTGTGCTCATTCAATTATAGTCTTACTGAGCTGGAGTCACAAGAGGCAGCAAAGCTTTTCAGGCTTTCTGGTGATTTCCTGAAGGTATTTCAGCACTTGGTCACAGTACAGAACATAATAAATTGCACCATCTGTATACATACTCCTTGGTTCTTGACAGAATGAGAGATAAGGCTTTAGGCGTTGTATGCCAAAAAAAAAAAACACAACACAGATTTCTTTTCTTTCAGTGTTTACAATGCCTTAATGTCAGAGAACTGTGGATTTTCCTGCCATTAGCAATTGCCCAAGTGCCCATCCCTAAGTGTTCCTTCTGCCCACAGACAGCTCTGGGGACTGAGGACGTGGGGCCGTGCTCTGCCCTCATTTGCACAGAAGTGGATGTTGCCACAGAGGTTGTTCCTGCACAAAAAATTTCTGGCCCAGGTACTCAGCATCTTTCCCCTTTGTGCTAGCAGTTAACAGCTCTTTAATCAGAACTATTGGTCTGCTTTAGGTGAAGTTCAAGCTTTGGCTCCCATCATGCAATCACCACATGGCGTATTTCCCATTAGACTGGATGCCTGAAGAAAGAGCTGAGTATGTGCCTTGTTCTTGCTCACTCGTACTAGTGCTTTTTATTAATTTCATTTAGTTCCTTTCTGTAGTTTCTATGGAGAAAAAATACCATCCAGGAATTTTTCCCACTTAGAAGGAATATAAATGACATAGTGCTTGTAAGACTGCAGGCTTTGGATCAACAACAGGCTTGAAATATGTTTTCCTTAATAAACAAGTGTTTTGTGTCACTGGGTGTGGTGCAAGGAAAAATATGGTGACTGGCCTGCAGCAGCCACACTGCTCTAGTGTGGAGATGGTTATTGGCTGTGGGTACAAACTCAGAGCCAAAACCTGCATTTCTTGTGTTGTGATCCTACTGCTAGCCATGACTGCTGATACCTTGAACACATTTTTAGCATTATCTACACCAGGTTTCCTGTCTGCCTTAGCAGCATGTCCAAATCCAGCTGGATGGAGGCAGTGGTGTGTTTGCTGGCTAAGCCAGGAATGGGATGCTATCTTCCAAGGAAGATGGATGTGCAGAGCACAGAAACCAAGAACAAAGCCAGGTCTTTGCTGGTGGGATCAGCACAGGTCTAAGAGATGAAAAGTACCTTATAAGAGTCATGGCTCAAAATGCAGATTTCAGCTGTTTGAAATATATTATTTTGTTTTCAGGCAAAAAGACCATACAGACAGATTCAAGCAATCTCTCAATAAATTCAGGAAAACATTAACAGTTGGCACTATGATTGCCATTATGCTTTGTCCTTTCAGCTTTGGTTTGATTATTAGAACAAAGTATTTCTCCTGTTTGCTTTATTATTATTATTTTTTTTTTAAGAACAACTCCTGATCATCAGAACAATCATGATTAGCACTGCAATATGGTAGCTACTCAGGAAACATTAGTAAGGGCTGCAACACTGATTAGCTGTACAAACACATTATAGCACTCCTTTCATCTAAGTAGCCGTAATGGTTATAATTGACTCTAAGAGGCTGTTTATTTTGTCAGTACAGATTCAGTTTATAACGTGTATTCATGTGTTCAGAGGGCACAGGACAAGGCTCTTTTGACTCATCAAAACTTCATCAAAGTCAACAGACATTTGCCTATCTGAGTTCTGGTAGGACTTGTTCCTATGCCTTCAGACACATTGGGATGGATTTTTGCTGGAGCCAGAGGCAGAAGAAGTGAAGGTGACCACTTCTCAAGACAGGGCTTTGTGATCAGTCAGGCTGAGAAGAATTCTTTTATGTTTTAATTTTGTTTTGTTTGCTAATGACATTTCTGGATGCAAATCAATGCACTCAAGAAGAGTTTCAGACCTGGGGAAACACTAGCAAGAACATAATCAGAAAACATCTCAGCACTGGTATCTCAAAGCCTCCTGCTACCTGAAAGCACTGTCTCTCTCTGACTAATTCTTAGTTTTGAGTCTTGAATACCATGAACAGGACACTAAATGCACAGCATCAATATACTTTGAATGCTATATCATAATAAAAATGTTTTTGTTTCTATTCCTTTTAAGAAAATTTTTATCGCTGGGTATATCTAAAGCAGTGCTTTTAGCAGTGGAAAACAAATGTGTTGCTTGTGGATTTGAAGTCTCAAAATAGAAATCCACACCGACTGAAAAGTTTTTAGGAGTTGACATATTAAGAAAGGTCACAAGTGTGAAAACAGTGGAGGGATTCACAGTTCTCCAGGCACCGCCATCAACTTTTTGGGAGCAGAGGGGATTGTTCCTAATGATCTCAGTTATTTTAAGGAATGCAGGAAAAAAACATAGTCATTAGAAGCCCTCTAGTTTCATTTACACATACAAATAACAGAATTGATTTTCAGAAAATATTTCAGTTGTTCAACAATTCCTATTTGTGAGAATGAATTTCCAAATTTGAGCACATCTAGAGTCAATTTTAAAGATTTTTTTTGGTGTATATAATTAAAAGTTAACGAAATACTAGAAGTGGTTTTTAAAAGTTAAAGGTAACAGACTTTCAAATCATGCTTTTTTTTTTCCTAGAAAAATACAAGTTGGTATAGTACAGGAATATCTTCAACAAAATCAATGGATCCATGTCAGTTTAAGTGAGGGATGAATAAGACCAATATGGAAAACAGCATCAAGTAATCTTCAACTTGTGCTGTAAGACCTTAAATTATAGGGTACCACAGAACTGCGTCCATGACCAAAAAAACCCCTGCTATGACTATATATGGAAGTATATATATACTACAAGAGCTTGCTTTTTTCAGTTTTCTAGCTCTGAAGTGCTGCATTCGGTGTTAAACAAGCCTCTTGCTTCCTCGCTTTTGGTAGCTGGTCACAATTTATTCTCTTCAGCAAAAGATGTGCTTAGCAGCATAGATGTTCTTTGTTAATAAATGTAAAGGTAAAATGTGTGCGAAACGTTATTAGAAGTGTCCTGGGAAATCTCAGATTGAGGAAGAGCTTGTGCGCTCCCAAACATGTCTGGTTCTTTTTCCAGCTGTATCAGTCCCATTACTTCTTATTACTGATATTACATTCTTAGTCCATTGTGGCTATTATAATGAAATCTCTACATCCTGAGTGAACTGCAGGTTGCAGAAATCATTTAAGTGCTATTTCGGATTTACACTTAATATTCATTGCAGCTTAGGTTTCATCTATTTTTTCAGAAGATTAAATACTCGTTATTTGAATGTGTAAAAGATAGCATGAAAGCTCTGCCTTCCCATTTAGCTTTGGACTCCATTTGGTTCCTTTGTGGATCCAATGTAAATGGCAGCATTTGTTAGACATTTCCAGGAGGAATTCCTCATTCACTATACTGCAGAAATCCAGTGTAGCTGCCTAATACATTGTGGTCTGTAGCTGCTCCTCTAGAAAATGCCTGGCT